GCCCTCCCTCTGCTTCTGCCTCTACCGAGTTTTAACCCACCCGTCCCGCAGCTTATATTTGTTTGTTTTTTGTGTGCGGTCGCTGCCTCTGCCTCTGCCGCGAGTCTGCAGTATGTGGGTCTAGGGAAGGGCGTCGAGCTAAAGGAGCGGGTTGGTGTGAGAAGTGTTGTAGATGTAGATGACAGATAAAGAAAAAATGTCAAATTTGACAAAACACCGCTAAGGTGCAGATGTAGTCCTGAGTGCCTGGTATAAAAGTTGTAAAGCGTAAGAAGCGCCTCACACGTCCCTTCTCGTTTTTTCTCAATTTCTCCCATTTTCCTTGGCACAATGTGTATTTCCGTCTCTGTCTGGCTATCTATTCTTAGTTGTGGAAAGAAGCAAGGACACGCCAAGGACCAACTTGCCACTGCAGCACTTGAGCTCTCACTTTTTTTTTCCTTTGAGGACCGTCAGTCCTTGTCTGGTACAGGGTCTGGCCTCGGTCTGAAATATTTCTTCTCCATTTGGGCGCACTGTGCACCTCTGTGTGACCCTTCTCGTGGACCTGTCCTCCACCCCTGTCTCCTCCACCACGTTGCCGAGGTATGCAACGTTGCCTGCGTTTGGAATGATCGAAGTTTGTCCTCCGTGCGGCTCAGACTCTGTCATTATTTCCGCTTCTGCAGCACATCGCCTTCTGCTGTCTGAGTGCAACAGACACTTATATCGATTTATAAGGTGCCACACACTGCTGATGGCATTCAAGGGTTGCCTCGCTATCATGTCGTGATGACTTTACTCCGAGTCAATGAACATTGATTGAGTGTAGCTCCATTAAGCTTTAAGTAATTCTCTCTTCAGCTAATTTACATGTAGATACATACACATAGTACATGGGAACGTATGAGACGCTTCTTACGCGTCACAACTTTTATATCCGGTACTCAGACAGTATATGTATCTGTACCTTAGTGGTTGTTTTCAAATTTTATAAATAAATTTCTTCATTTTGACTATAATAATGATGTAAAATTTCACGATCTGATAGATATGGTGATTTTCTACGGAATGGCGCCTTTAGTTTTCTCTTTTCTTTAAAATTGTGAATTCAGCATATTTTCGCCCTTTGCGGGGGCGAAGCGATATGTTGAAATGCACTTGTAACAGTGTGAGTTAAGCCTTATTATATAATAGGCAAAGTAACCTGTTTAATCAAATGATTTTTAAAATAAGTTTCACGATTGCACCATGGTCCCAATGACCACTTGCGTTGTCCTAAATTAATAATTCACGAACGAAATAAGATATTTAGTCTTTTGATATTAGTTAAGTATAGCAAGGGGGATGTTTTTTGAGAAAATGGGCGTGGAACCGTCTTTTTTGAAGGAAAAATCGGTTTTTAATTTTTTTTCTCAAAATGTTAGAAGCAAGATTCTATAAAAAAAAGTCAAAGCACGAATTAAAACAGCTTAAATCAAAGATAATTCAATTTTTTGTCCCACAAAGCATTCTCCATAGGAGTTTTCATTATAAAACAATATTACACTGGATATCAAACTCTAGCCCTCCAAAGTAGCTAGTGACTAATACTGTGGCTTAAATGCAATGCAAAATGGCACCCTACTTCACAATTTTCTTCTTCATTGTGTTCCAAACGGCAAAAAAAGATTGAAATTTCTCATTTGAGGTTATGATCTATAAATGCAAATTGTAAGAGTTGTGGTCAAATGTGGAATTTCTGACTACATACATTTTAACAATCATGTACGACACACAATAGGTTTCAAGGTGGGACTAGGTGGCACTCTATTAAAAACCCTTGTCAAAAATTAGTTTTCACTACGAACTGATGCATATTGAAGGCCTCACTTTGACATACAATTACGAAGACATCGCCAACTACTAGATACCGTTCACATTACAAAACACGTAGTAGAAACCCTACTGAATAAAATGCATCCAAAAAATTGGATCAGTTAATTTTTCAATTTATGAGACATTTAAAACAGCAATAAAATTTGTACTTTTTCACTGCATATGGTGCGCAATAATGAGCGCTGGGTTTCAAAGCTGATTTTGCGAAGGTGGCACCATCTTTGAAAATTTTGGTACGCAACTTTGATGGTCACTTTTTTTATAATACAGAGCGCCAAAAACCACGTCTTGGTTTTAACTTTTAAAAATTAGCTTTTGGCCTAGAAAAATGGTCATTGAGACCATAGTGCAATGTAGAGTCTACATACATATGTATGTACATATGCATGTGAAGTTCTATGCCAGTGTTTGTGCTGCACAAAGGCATTCCACCATTCGATATCGAACTTCAATAAAACTACTCGACAAAATCACCCTATTTTTCCTCAAGGAACCAAATTTACTTTTTCTGAAAGATTTGGGGCATTCAAATTGCTTAATGATTTTTTTCTAGACTGAAGGCTTTACATTTTTTTTTCGGGGCTTTTTTCTATTGCAGATCTTTTTGAAATTTTTAAAGTCTTCCATAAAATACTGCCAATAGTTTCAGGCTTCAGTACTCATCAGCTTTATAGAATGCATTTGAAGCCATTGTAATGGCTTAGTTTATAACATTCATTATTTAATTAATTAATAATAATAATACAAATTAATCAATACTTCATTAATATGATAACTGTATATTTAAAGTAATAAACATTACGAAGACATTAAATTCGAATGCGGAGAACACAATTTTTTTTTTTTTTCAAAGTTGTCAATCGGAAAATAATTTGTAAAGAAGAAGAAATTTTATGAAAATTGTTTCGTCTCGAAAATTGTCTGCTTGGCTTGTGCGTACAATATACAACATTTTTTCTTCGAGTACCGGGTATTAAAATGAATGAAAATATATAAATATGTTTCGTAAAGTCTAGTCAAAATGGTTTGAAAAACTCTTTTTTTTAAGACAGTTCTGTAAAAGACCACCTTTTGCATAAGTATTGTGTTTGGAGCAGCAGCAAATACATAATAATTAAGATCAGCTCGCCTTGTTTGTATTTATTTCCTCTTATACTCTCTTATAATAATATGATATTGTCGCGCCCCTGAGCAGCCCAATTATTTCTACATATGTCCAACGCGAACCCGATACCTTTATCGAGCTCTAAACCATTGTACATTTTAACGAACCGAATCACGGCCACGCCCCTTTAAATTGTATAAAATAATTGTCGTAAATGTGGAGTTAGAGTTTCCGAAAAAGCTCGGCAGCTTCCAACATATTGATAACATTTAATTGGACAATATTTATGGAATTTTGCGGGACATGCTCAAAGGGATGAATGAAACTCTCCAAGGGATGCATAGCAAACGTTAATGGATGTTTTGGCCTATGAGGAAATGCAATCTTGGATACAGCATTGATATTGGGGCTACGGGGAATAGTTGAACATGTGGGTTGCCATTACTTATTTTATCCCACTTACAAATGTATAATTAAAACAATATATGACATTCCATTGGAATCACATGTATGTACATATATTTACATACATACATATGTACATGCATAGACCCTATCAGTCATACTATATAAGGGATAAAATACTCAATGTATGAGTATATCTCCTAATAAATACTTAAACTACTACGACTTCTACAAAATGTTAAAATAAAAAAAAAACACATGAGTTTTGATTCGTGGTGATAGAATGTATACACCTATATGTATCTTCATATATCTATGCAAAGTTGAAGTTTTGTACCATTTTCAATGTTTCTTTAACTACGTAGAATAATTGTCGTAAATTTGGAGTTAGAGTTGCCGAAAAAGCACGGCATCTTCCAACATATTGATAACAATGAAAACATCAAATAATTCTTTTTTCATTTTTTTTATTGTACGAATATACGAGTGTACTTTTAGACGATATCTCTTTAGTGGCATCGATTCTCAACAAACTAAGATACTAAACACTTTAATTTCCCAAAGAAGGGCAAAGGTCCCGAATAAAAAATAGGTACATACATATATTTGAGGTATATTGCAAATTCTAGGTACATATGATGTTATATTTCCTTACACTCAAAAGTTTCCCATTTGTAGCACAGTGTAATAGGATCTAATTAGAATTAAGTCGCGCATTCTGGTGTCTGTTTGACCTCCGCAAGTGCCAGCATTACAATAACTCTCATGCGCCCTCTTGTGCGTTGTGGTGTATTTTGGATGTATTGGTCTATGGTCCAAAGTAATATATGTATGTGCATGTGCTGAATCCTTATCTGGATCGGGCTTCCGAAACTACTTAGTTCTTATCAAAACGCTAGCTTGCTAGATACTTGTTGCGTCATGGAGCTGTGTCTGACGATATAACTGCATTCTGTTATGACCCCACCGTATCCATATCACCATATCTTCAGAAGAACGGGACGGAATGGGATAGAATCAAATCAAATCCGGATAAGCGTATATGTTCCGTACCCTGGTTTTTGTGCTTTTACTCGTATCTTCGTTATGAAGCAAATAAAGCAAAGACGCCAGTCAACGGAAATGCGCAGCCCATTTTATCAACATTTACCTTGACGTTTGCTGTTCAAGATTAAGATTACGTATTTGGCAGTCACAACAGAATCCCGAGAACTAGCGATCAACTCTTCCGACCTGATAAGGCGAATGATTCATGGACCCAGCAGAAAGGTGCGTTATCAGAAGAGCCTATCAAGGTGGGGGGTCACATCACCTTTACCATTGCGAATTGTCGTGACACAAAACAAAACGGGAAAAAGTAAACAGGTAAAATTTGGATTATATCAAAATGGGTAATTTCAATAATTATCATAGGAACATAATTACCGGAAATGATTCCACGTTTTCTCTCTATGATTTCATGACAAGTGGGGGACTCGGATTATCTTACTCCGCAGTATCATATATTGTCTTAGCCACGCTTATCAGGCGCAAACATGTATTGTATTTGGTTAGCGTCACAAAAAGTTTCGCGGAATGGATAGAAGATAAACCGGAGATTTTGCATAAAAACGCGACAGATAGGCGTACAGAGGATAGTAACGATTTTCCATTCGCACCCAACGCATGAAACGACGACGATGACAACGAACCGATCGACCAGACTTCTAGTCTTGCTTGTGGTAATTGCATAATCCTTAAGTCGCGACCTGCAATAAATCATATCCGCAGAATCCGCATCATATTGATTTATCAGCTCATCGGGTACAAGTGCCAAAATGGAATGATTTTATCCTTAATTTTTTTTTTGTTCCTGTTACTGTCTTCACTGACGAGTTGTATGCATATTGGAAATTTTGGTGTGACACTTGGATATGTTCGATAAACACCACGAAAAACCCAAACACTATCCTTAGCTCCCGGGATTCTTGATACTTTGGATAACATTCAAATCAATCGGAGACAACTCAAAAGTATCCTATGCAAGTGAAACAAACCCAATGTGTATTTGTTGCGGTCCCGAGCCTCCTCCCTGACTGGCGACGATCAGTGCACCACCATCCGCAGAGATCCCAGCCCGCCTAACCTCCCGACTTTTTCCTAAATCTATCTTCCAGCTCACGGCTCTAGTGGCCAACCACCAGGCAAGGGCAGCCGCCGCCGTTCTTAAGTGCGCCGGAAAGTCAGCTGTCTGCGTGGGACCTCTTACCTATCAGATCTGCGTGGACGATTTGACGACGGGTTATGTGATTCCCTGCCAGACGAGCACACGTTGCGTCACCGATGGCATCGAGATATGCGAGCCCATCAAGATAGACGCAGAGGCACCCACGGCGGCTGTGGCCAAGATGGTAACAATTACCGACAGTCCAGCTGCCGTCAGCGAATCTGCCCTGCTTGTCGACGGCACCGGAACCGGAAATTCCAACGACACCACTAATACAATCTCCACTGAGGGTCTCGGATCATCAACGTCCGCTGGGCCGACCACAACTCCAGCTGAGACAACCACTGCTCCCGCTGAGACAACAAATATTTTGGAAACAACCACAGAAACTTCACGGTCTGAGGTGTCTCTAGACCCGGAGTCCACGACTTCAGTTATTACCGAAAACACTACCAATACCAATGCACCTGGACAAAGCGACCCCAACGCAACAGAAGGATCAAACGCTGCTCCTGGAGAAGAAAGCCCCAACAACCCGGCAGGTTCGACATCCGCTCCTGGTACTCCCGAAGATCCAAACGCTCCAGCAGACTCGACTGACGCTCCTGGTACGCCTGCTGATCTAAATGTTCCAGCTGGTTCCACTGCCGATCCTGGTAATCCTGCTGATCCAAACGCTCCAGAAGGCTCGACTGACGCTCCTGGAACGCCTTCTGATCCAAATGTTCCAGCTGTTTCGACTGCTGCTCCTGGTATTCCTGAAGATCCAACCGCTCCAGCTGGTTCCACTGAAGCTCCTGGCACCCCTGCTGATCCCAACATTCCAGCTGGTTCCACTGCCGCTCCTGGTATTCCTGAAGATGCAAACGCACCAACTGGTTCCACTGCCGCTCCTGGTAATCCAGCTGATCCGAATTCTCCAGCTGGTTCCACAGCCGCTCCTGGCACCACTGCTGTTCACAACACTCCAGCTGGTTCCACTGTAGCACCTGGTAATCCTGATGATCCCAACGCTCCAGCTGGTTCGACTGCCGCACCTGGTAATCCTGATGATCCCAACGCTCCAGCTGGTTCGACTGCCGCTACTGGTATCCCTGAAAATGCAAACTCTGGTTCCACAGCCGCTCCTGGCACGCCTGCTGATCCCAACGCTCCAGCTGGTTCAACTGCCGCTCCTGGTATTCCTGAAGATCCAAACGCTCCAGCTGGTTCCACTGCCGCTCCTGGCACCCCTGCTGATCCCAACATTCCAGCTGGTTCCACTGCCGCTCCTGGTATTCCTGAAGATCCAAACGCTCCAGCTGGTTCCACTGCCGCTCCTGGCACCCCTGCTGATCCCAACATTCCAGCTGGTTCCACTGCCGCTCCTGGTATTCCTGAAGATCCAAACGCTCCAGCTGGTTCCACTGCCGCTCCTGGCACCCCTGCTGATCCCAACATTCCAGCTGGTTCCACTGCCGCTCCTGGTATTCCTGAAGATCCAAACGCTCCAGCTGGTTCCACTGCCGCTCCTGGCACCCCTGCTGATCCCAACATTCCAGCTGGTTCCACTGCCGCTCCTGGTATTCCTGAAGATCCAAACGCTCCAGCTGGTTCCACTGCCGCTCCTGGCACCCCTGCTGATCCCAACATTCCAGCTGGTTCCACTGCCGCTCCTGGTATTCCTGAAGATCCA